TCTTTCGGGCATTCTTCGGGACCCTTCAAGAATTATTCAGGAAGCCCCAGAATCTACGGAGGAATCCTCAACATCCCCTTACGGATGGAAATCCTCCAAATTTCTCATGGAATCATCAAACATTCTTCCTTCAGGAGTCCTCAGGAATCCTTCAGGAATCCGCAAGAAATCTTCAGAAACCCGTCAGATTCCTGCAGGAATCTTCAGGAATTTTCCAGGTGTCTTCAATAATCTTCCAGGAATCTTCAAGAATCCTTGGGGAATCCTTGAAACACTCTTGAGGAATATGCGAGAATCCTTCGGGGGCATCCTTAAGAGTCTTTGTGGGATCCTGGAGAAACCGGAATAGTCCTTCGGGATAGCTCAACAGTCCCCCAGGAAACCTCAAGAATCCTGCTGGAATCCTCGCGGAATCTTGCAGAAATATTGCAAAACTCGATCAGGAATCCTCAAGACCCCTTCCTAGGAATCTTCGAAAATCCTTTCCAGGAGTCCTCAAGAATCTTTCAAGCATCTTCAGGACTCGTTCATGATTCCTCAGGATTCCTTTTTTGGAATCCTTCAGGAGTCCGTCAGGAATCTTCAAGAATCTTTCAGAATCCTTCAGGACTCCTCTAGAAGCCTTTAGGATCCTTCAGGAGCCCTTCGCGAGTCCTTCAAGAATCCTCCCGGAGTCCTGGCGAATATACCAAGCCCTGGGAAGCTGAAGCATAGTCCCCTGGTTGTAATCCAACGTTCGACTTGTAGCAATACATGAGGAATCGTGTACGTTGCGATCAGGTCCCGGGGACCACGTATGGAAAATTCAGGACGTCGCATGTCCAGTCTCGGTGCAGATTGAAGTTTTTCTTCGTCCCGCCCACCCACCATGTCCCCTCGAGGGGGAGGTTGTGAAAAAGGGGGGGGGATCAGGGCCAGGAGGGGGTGGGAGGATTTTCCGCCTTCCGCCCTCTCGCCGTTCGACGCCTTTCCTCTCCCTCTCCTTCTTCTCCCCCTTCGTTTCCTCCTCTTTTCTTCTCGTCCTTCCTTTCCCCCGCTTCCTGCTCTCTCTCTCCCTCCTCTCCTCTCCCTGCTCTCCGACTCCCTCCTCCCTCCTCTCCCCCCTCTACAATTATACAATATGAAAATATTCTCCCACTTCCCCTGATTGCGCCCCGAAGATATCCGACACCCCCCCGCGTATTTTTTTACGCACAGGATTTCCGGGAAACGTTTTTTTGTTTTTTTTTTTGTAAAAAAATGCTGCTCTCGCCGAGGCGCCGGCCTCATTTCTGCTCCCGAATCGTTACGCATCGTGCTCCCGCTGCAGCGTGGGCCTCATTTTCGGATCGGTGTTTGGCCTCCGTCGTTCAGGATGGCGTTCTCGCCCCAGCGCGGGCCTCTTTCTCGCGCGCCCATCCGCCCGCCACCACCGCGCCGCACCATCACCACCACCACCACCACCACCACCACCACCACCACCACCACCACCACCACCACCACCACCACCACCACCACCACCACAACCACACGCACGCACGCACGCACGCACGCACGCGCACCACCACCCACTACGCACGCGCGCGCGCGGAACCACAAGTCCGCTACGACAGGCGTCCGCGGATAGAGAAAATCAGCGCCATGGTAAGGGACGTGAGGGAGGCATAGGACGTCAGATATGACGCGAGCGCACCTAGCTTGCCCTCTTCCCCTTCCCTTTCCCCCCCCCCCCTTCTGTTCCTCCCCCCTGCTCTCCCTCCCCGCCGTTCCTCGTTCTGCCCCCCCCCCCCCCCTCCGAGGAGCACCGGGGGTCGAGGACCTCGTCGCCTGCCCGCGGACGGAGAAAGCGCGCATCCATCTTCGCCATCGTCAGCATTTTGCTCGCTGTCGCCATCGCTTTTGTCGTCGCTGTCTTCTTAGTTTCTCCTTCGTCGTCGTCGTCGTCCCGTCTGTCTCGCCATCACCATGATCCTCGTCGTCGTCGTCGTCGTCCCGTCTGTCTCGCCATCACCATGATCCTCGTCGTCGTCGTCGTCGTCGTCGTCCCGTCTGTCTCGCCATCACCATGATCCTCGTCGTCGTCGCCGTCGGCTGGCGCGGAGTGCAAGGACTCGGGGCGGCTCTCCTGGGGTTCGTCGTCGTCGTCGTCGTCTTCGTCGTCGTCCTCGTCGTCGTTCTCGTCAGCGCCCTCTGGCACAACGCGCACGCTGAGTTGGTCGCGTCAGGTTGGGTGCCCTGCGTTCGTTGCAGGTCTGCCTTCGCTCGCGTAATGCGGATGATGGCAACGACGAGGACGAGGGAGGAGGGAGTGGGGAGGAGGAGGAGGAGGAGCATGAGGAGAAGGAGGAGGAGGAGAAGGAGGAGGAGGACTAACATGTGAGGATGAGGGAGGTCAAGGAGACGGGGGAGGGAAGTGGAGCAGGAAGAAGAGAGGTGGACCGAAGTAGGGAAGGCGGGGCTGGAGCTTCACATGTCTTGGGCGAAACCCATGCACGCATCCGTGGGTCGTCGTCGTCGTCGCCGTCGTCGTCGTCGTCGTCGTCGTCGTCGTCGTCGTCGTCGTCGTCGTCGTTGTCTGCATCGTCGTCGTAGATGTTGTCGTCGTCGTTGTCGGCGTCGTCGGCGTCGGCGTTGTCGTCGATCGTCTTTCGTCAGTAGGCGGTGGGCGTTCATCGTTCCTCGTCTCCCTTCATCCCCTCCCCTCCCCTGCCCTCCCCTTGCCCTCCCTCCTCCCGCCTCTCCTACCTCTCGTTTGCTTTCTCTCCTGCATCTCCTCTTCATCACTCCCTTTTGCTCCTCCCTCCTCCTCTCCTCCTCCTCCTCCTCCTCCTCCTCCTCCTGCTTGTCCTCCCTTCTGCTTCTACGCCTGGCTTCTCCCCCGGCCCCACTCCCCCTCCCCCCCTCGCCTCCCCCCCTCCTTTCCCCCTCCCTCCTGCATCCTCCCTCCTCCTTCCTGCTCTTCTGCCTCCCCGCCCCCCCGACCTCCCCCTCCCCCCGGCGGTCGGCCTCCCCGGCGTGCACGGGCGCCTCTGGCGGGCGTGCCGGCAGGGCGGCCGGGCGTCTCGCCCGAGAGCCCCCACGAGGTACAGGTTCGTCCAGGGCTCCTTTCGATTCCCGCGATTCGATTCGATTCGATTTCGATGGCCCCCGATTCCGATTCGATTCGACTTCGGGTTCCGATTTGGATGCCGGTTCCTCAATGGAGCCCTACTAGCCTGCCGATTTCCGCCGATTCGACTTCTCCCGACTTAGCTGCCGATTTCTGCCGATTCGAATCGTTCCGATTGCCGATCCGACTTCTCAATTCGATTCTGGGCCCTCCTGGTTCGTCTCGTGTCGACCAGCGGCGACCCCGCCAGCGGCGTTCAACTTTGAACGCCGCGGGCGACCCAGAATCGTTCGATGTGGAACGATTTGGATGTTTCGGAAACGGCCGATCGTTCAAGGTTGAACGATCCCCGCGGTCTCAGGGTCCAACGCCGAAGTCGGCACGGAGCGAACCTGGCGCATGACAGTGCTAGCCAGCGTGGGCCCCAAGCAGTGAGGTATTGTACCGCGGAGGTAGAACCTGTGCGGAGTGCGGTCTGAGCCATGTGGTGCAGGTTATGTTTTGTGAGCCGTGTCGTGCCTGCGTTGTTTTGTGTAAGCTAGGCGCTGTGAGCTGCATGGCGCGAGCTGTGGTGTGCAGGCTGTGCGGTGAAAAAGCAACGCTGTGGGATCTACGTCGTGTCAGACACGCCACCCACCCCGAGCTCGGGGTGCCCACGAGCGCAAATGCGGCGGCACGGGCGCGAACATGGAGAAGCCTCGGCGGAGCCGCCCAGTGCACGGGGCGCCCACGATCGGAGGGCACCAACTATACACCAACACCGATCCTGGCCCAGGATCACCCTGGGCCCAGGATCGGTGTATATGCCTTCTTGCGCAAGGCAGGAGGGCGTATACACCGATCCGGGGCCCAGGGTGATCCTGGCCAGGATCGGTGTTGGTGTATAGCTGGTGCCTTCCTACGAGCGCCCACGAGGCGGCACGGGCGCGAACATGGCGAAACCTCGGAGGAACCTCCCAATTCCTCAGTCAGGGATGTGATGAGCCCCCAGTGCAGGCACTGTGTGGGGGAATCGGCCTTGGCGTTTCCAACGTTTACGCGTCTGGAGGGCGCCCATGTTTCGATTGGAGTCCCTCGCTGGAGACTTCCACAGTACTTTCTGAGTCTCATTGGGCAGCACCCGCATCGCTTACACGGACGGATGGATGGTTCCTTGTCTGAGTTGTTTCTCGTTCGCTTCTTGTTCTCAGGGTGCAAGACCGTGCAGCACAATTACGTGTGGAAGGACGACTCTTTGTAAAAATGCGCCTCCCATTTGACACATGTTTGAGTTTACTGCTCCTGCGCATTGGTATCCTTAGTAGTTTCGGCGGGGAGCCGGGGGGGACGTGAGAAGGAGAAGGCCTTCTCAGTTGGCTCGGAAGTCTCCCGGACTTTGAGAAGTTTTCTGGGCCTTCCCCGAAGACATACCACCTCTCAGAAGGCCAGATGGCTTCCGAGAAGTCCCGCCGCCCTCGGAGAAGGCCTCCTCCTTCTCACTTCCCCCCCTCGCTCGCCGCCAACTCTCCATTGACACATCTTTGAGTTTAATGCCTCGTGCGTGTTGGTATCTTTGCTAGGTGCAGTGGTGTGCAGGGTGGCTTATGCTCATCAACACTGGGCTGTCGCCTGCACAGCACGCCCCCTCGGGCGCTCGTGTCCCTCTAGGGCTTCCTCCCCGCAGCGAAATGGAGTACTTCCAGGGGCTTGTCAGGGGGCTGCTCGAGCGGGTGCGTCGCAGCATCGTTGGGCTGTCCTCCTCCTCTTCCTCCCCCTTCCACCTCCCCCTTCCCCCTTCCCCCCCCCTCCCCCTCTTCCTCTTCCTCGTCCGCCGCCCTCCCCCTCCCCTCTTCCTCCCCCTTCCCCTATTCCCCTCCCCCCCCCCTGTTTTCCCTCCCTGGCAGCTCTGGCCCGCTGCCGGGGCCGTTGCCAGGACGCGGGTGAGTGGGCGGAGGACGCCGTCGATTGGCTCGAAGGCGCCAGGGCTGGGGGCAGGGGATGGGCTGGGGGCAGAAGACGGGATGGGGAGGGGGAGGGGAGGAGGGGGAGGGGGAGGACGGGAGGGTGAGAATGGGGGAGGGAAGGCGGTATGACGAGGGATGGGATGAGCCACGGGGATGATGTTGTTGCTGCTGATGATGATGGTGGTGGTGGTGGCGGCGGCGGTGATGATGCTGATGCTGCTGCTGATGATGGTGATGATGCTGATGATGATGATGATGATGATGATCATGCTGATGATGATGATGATGATGATGACGATGGTGACGATAAGTATGATGATGATGATGATGATGATGATGATGATGATGATGATGCTGATGATGATGATGATGATGATGATGATGATGATGATGAGCATGCTGATGATGCTGATGATGATGATGTTGCTACTGGCTGCTGCTGCTGATGATTATGCTGACGATGGTGCTGCTGCTGCTGATGATGACGACGATGATGAAGAAGATGATGATGCTGATGGCGATGACGATGCTGATGATGCTGATGATGTGGATACTGATGACGATCACGGATGATGCTGATGACGCTGCTGTTGATGATGATGCTGATGCTGATGCTGATGATGCTGCTGATGATGATGATGACGCTGATGACGATGATGACGACGATGATGATTCTATAGGCTTACGCCACATCCGCCGACCCCTATATAAGGTACTGCGCCTCCAGGACTGCATTTCACGAGGCTTGTCCGAATCATGACACGGCGCTCGACATCGTTCCTGTTGCTTCGTTGCTGTTACCGTACCTCTTGGTGCTCTTTTGTGGCCTCTTCGTGGCATCTTGTCCTGTCTGCAGGCCATATCCGGCCGCCTCGAGGCATCTTGGGCCAAGTTTTGGGGCCTCTTTGGGGCTTCCTGGGGGCTTCTTGGAGGCCTTTGAGGTTCTTTTGGGGGTCCCTCAGGGCCTCTTGGGCTGTTCTTTGGGCAGGCTGGGGGCATCTTGGGGCCGAAGGCTCGAACAGGTGTCGTCTTGGGGCCGTCTGGGGGCCCTCTTGGGCTGTCTTGGGGGCTTCGGGGGCTGTTGTTGGACCCTCTTCGACCCTTCTTCGGGGCCTCTTGGCCGTCTGGGGGCGATATTGAAGGTTTTTGTTGCCCGTCTGGGACGTTGTGAAAACCGAATCGGCGAGCATGCGACAAATGCTTGTTTTTCAAAGGGAATGGGACGATTTTTGTTTCTTGGGACCCTTTCGGGGGGCATGTCGGGGGCCTTTTGGGGCGTCTTGGCAGCTTCGGAGGCCGCCTGGAGGCCATCGTGGGCGTCCAGGGCCATATTTCGGCGAATCGTGGCCCCCTGGGACCGTCTGGGGAGCGTTCTGGTGCCTTCATGGCCAGTTTTGGAACCCTCCGCTCCCCCGTGACGCGTTCGGTCCGGGGTCGCCAGGGGCCCGGGGGGGGTCAAATCTCCGGTTTGGGGTCCCTTGAAGGGGTTTATGGGGGGAACCATCTCACACGCCTAAAGACCCACAAGGGGTCGGCGGATAATGCTGATGAAGAAAACATGATGATGATGACGATGCTGATGCTGATGATGATGATGATGATGATGATGATGATGATGATGATGATGATGATGATGATGATGATGATGACGATGATGCTGAGGCTGCGGCTGATGATGATGATGATGCTGCTGCTGATGCCGACGACGACGACGGTGGCGGCGACGACGACGCTGATGATGATGCTGCTGATGATGCTGTTGATGATGATAATGATGTGGCCGCTGCTGCTGATGACGACGATCATGATGCTGATGATGACGATGGGGACTATGATTATGATGGTGACGGTGATGATGATGATGATGATGCTGATGATGATGACGATGATGATGATGATGATGATGATGTTGATGGTGTTGATGACGATGCTGATGACGATGACGATGATGATGGTGATGGTGTTGCTACTGCTGATGATGATGGATATGACGAGGATGTTGATGATGATGGCGATGCTGATGATGCTGACGACGATGATGATGATGATGGTGGTGTTGATGGTGACGACGATGCTGATGCTGATAATGATGACGATTATGATGGTGATCATGATGGTGGTAATGATGATGCTGCTGATGATGAGGGTGTGGGTGAGGGTGAGGATGATGAATATGCAGTTGTTGATGATCATGACGCTAAAGCTGATGATGATGCTGATGACGACGATGCTGCTGCTGATGATATGTTGATGGCGATGCTGCGGCTGCTGATGATGATAGTGGTGCTGCTTCTGCTGATGATATCGATAATGATGCTGACGCTGTTGTTGCTGACGATGGTGATTATGATGACGATGTCGTCGCTGTTGCTGATGATGCTAGTGGTGGTTGTGGTGGCTGTGGTGGTGGCGACGCTGATTTGAGGATGGCGATTACGATAGGGTTCTTGTGGTTGGTGATGATCTGGAGGAGGGAGCCAGGTTGGAGCCTGGGCACCACCCCCATGCCACCTCCGCGCGAGGTGCCGCTGACGACGTGGGCGACTTCGTCACCAGCCTGTTCTAAAGTTGTCGGCGAAACGGCCGGGCGGGGACATTCACAGAAAAAAGCTACCGATACGCTGTGGGCTACCAAGCGCTACTCATTACCAAATCTACCGATACCGCTGCTCCTCCCTCATTGTCCTCTGGCTGGGCTTCTTGGGAGAGGTCGTCGTCGCCACCGCTGGATTCGCCTGAAGTCCTGGTCAGAGCGCACTCCGGGAGAGGTCCGCCGAGCAGGGGAAGGAAATTGCGAATGGGGAGGCTCGGGAGGCGAGGCGGGGGAGTGGAGCTGTTCTCGAGAGCCCGAAGGCCTGCCCTCGTCCCCTTGTTGGTGCTCGTACCCGTGCTTTGCGGTCCCTCAAACGAAGGATTGCAAAACAAACCCAAGGATTGCAAAAAAACCCAGGATTGCAAAAAAAAACCCAGGATTGCAAAAAAAAACATGATTTTTTTTTTTGCAATCCTTCGGTTTTTTTGCAATCCTGTGTTTTTTTGCAATCCTTCGGTTTTTTTGCAATCCTCCTGCCTCTCCCAGGGCTCGAGCGAAGCGGTGTTTTGGCGATCTCGTGGACCGCTTTCGGTCTGATGCCGTTTCGCAGCAAAGGAAGAGCGAAGACAGAACGAAGGAAGGCGACACACAACATGAACACGAGAAGCATTGCGTAGCTCGAGCCCTGCTTCTCCTCCTCCCCCCTTGCCTGCCTTTTCTCCTCCTCCGCCTCCTCCTCGTCCTGCCTCTCCCTCCCTGCCTCCCTGCCCGAGCGCGCCGCGCCACAGCGCAGCGAGGGGGGCCGACGGGCCGAACCCTGCTGCGTCGCCGCCCAGAAGCTCTGTCGCCGTACCGCTGCGACCCTAGAAGTGTCTCGGATGAGATGGACAGTTGACTGTGCGGTAGGGAGGAGGAGGAGGAGGAGGAGGAGGAGGAGGGAGGAGGTGGAGGCGGAAGAGCAGGAGGCGGAGGAGGAGGAGGAAGAGGATCGACGGACGATCGACGCAGCTCCGACGCACGAGTGAAGCGAGTGGCTCCAGGGAGGTCCCCAGAAAGAGCAGCCACGTTGACAGTGCAGTGGGCCAACACCGCACACACAGCGGCATCTCCGGTCAGGGCACTCCCGAGCCGCGCGCGGCGAAGCAGCATCAGCCGATTCCTGGGGTGTGGCCCGAGATGACGAGGCTCCGCCCGACCGTGCTGGAAGCGCAGGTCCCCGGCCAGAGACACGCTCAGGTGCCGACGGCAGCCCGAGTTTCTTAATGAGCGTCGGGGGGGGCGTCACCCCAGCCGACAGCCCCACATCGACCCCCGTCGGGGGCAGCCACCGAGCGCCGAAGAAGCTCCGACTTCCGTCACGGCGCGACGACGAGGCGAGGTTGACTCCCGTCGGGGGGTCCCTCACGCTTGTTAAGAAACCCGGAGTAGTCCGACCACGCATTCAGGCCCTGGGTCGTTGGTTGGGCGGCCCCGAAGCCAAACGGCCAGACAGGTTGGCCGCCGCCCCGCACCTCTGCAGGAGGCGTCCATTCGGGCTTGCGCGCCTGGCCGCCTTGATCCAAGAGGGGCTCCAGAGCACCTCAATCATGTTGCAGCAGCGTGTCCGCCAGGTCCCAGGGCGCCCCACATGCGGCTCTCCCTCCCTCCACCTCCTCTCCCTCCTCTCCCTCCTCTCCCTCCTCTCCCTCCTCTCCCTCCCTCCCTCCCTCCCCATCGCCTCTCCTTCACTCCATCCCATCCCTCCTTCCGTCTGCTCCTCCAGGCGCAAAGGATAACATCGCGTTCGCCCGCGGAAGCCATCCTTCTCCTGCCGCGGCGGCAGCTTTCCGTGGGCCTGCCGCCCACAAGACAGGCGCGGACAGGAGGACGGCGGCGACGTGCGTGTGCAAACGCCGAGTTGGCGCCTGAGGTCGCCGAGCCGCTGCGGACGGCCGACGGGTCAGGCTTGGCACTCGCGGCGGCTTTGGCACCCTTGCGGCCGACCAGGTGCGCCTGGGTGGGGGCGCGTGTGGCCGTAGGCTGATGCCGGGCCTGTTTCTCTACAGGAGGAATGGGTCCTGGCCGGTCCAGGCGGCCCCCTGGGGAGCGCCGGGGAAAGGCCCGAGGCTCCTGTCTGACCCATGCAGTTGCGAACGTGGGGGTTGAACGTGGGCGCCTGAGAGGGAGGTTCGACTGTGGCTTTGCTGCGGGGAGAGGAGAGAGAGAGAGAACGAGAGAGAGAGAGAGGGAGAGAGAGACAGGGAGAGAGAGGGAGAGAGTGAGAGAGAGAGATATATATATACAGATACATATAGAGAGAGCCCAAACACATGTAGAGACAGAGAGACAGCAATCCATCTGCCTGCGGCAAGCCCCGCCACCGTGCCTGTGCAACAGCGCCGCAGGAAGGAGGCTGAGTGTAGGAACAGCGCAATTCCGACGAGTAGTTAGTCTGAATTGGGCGGTTCGTGATACCGACCTCGTCCGCGCGGTAGGGAGGAGGAGGGAGAGGCGGAGGAGGAGGAGGCGGAGGAGGAGGGAGGAGGAGGAGGCGGAAAATAAGGAGAACATGAAGATGATGAGAAGGCATATTGGGGCCTTCTTTGGGCGTCTAGGGGCTTTCTGGGAGCTTCCCGAAAGCTTCTGGGGGGGCCTCTTTGGGGCCTCTTGGGGCTTCTCGGGCCGTCTAGGGGGCCTCTCTAGGCTGCGTTGGTGCCCTCCCTTCTTGGAGCGGTTCACGACCGTCTTGGGGCCCGCTTAGGAGCCCTTTGGGCGATCTTTGAATTCGCTTGGGTCGACTTTGGGACCTCTTGTAGGCCTCTTGAGCTGTCTTGGAGCTACGTATCTTGGAGGTCTCCTCGAGGCTTCTTGGGCCTTCTCGGGCGGTCCGAAACCCCAACAGGTGAGAACCTCCAAATCATGAAACACCTGCGGTAAATCGCTGGTTTTGGCCTCCTCGAGCTTTCCGGGAGGGCTTCTTGGAGACCTTTCGCGCCGTCTTGGGGGTTCTTTGATCTGTCTTGCGGCTGCCTTGGGAGCCGCTTGAGCCGTTTTGACGCCATCTTTGCGCCATCTTGGCGTCATCTTGGTTGCCTTGAAACCTGTCATGCAGGCCATGAGGTTCCGAAGAATGCCTCAAGACAGATCAAGGTGCCCCCAAGACGGCCTCTCCAAGAGGCCCTCGAGGAGAGCCCGAGGAGGCCCAAACCGTTGATTGTCCTTGATGTGTTTGAGGGGTTTCGAGGTTCTGGCATGTTTGGGTTTCCGACCGCCCAAGACAGCCCAAGAGGCTTCTCTGGGCCGTCTTGTTGCTCTGGGCCGTCCTGGGTGGTCGGAAACACGAAACAACCTATGCAAACTCACTGGTTTGGGCGCCCTCGGGCTCTCCAGGAAGGCCTCTTGGAGTCCTCTCGGGCCGTCTTGGAGGCCTCTTGGGCCGTCTTGAGGCCCTCTTGGGCTATCTTGAGTTGTCTGAAGAGGTTCTCTTGCGAGGTGCTTGATCTGTCTTGGGCCATCTTGAGCCGTTTCCGTCTTGGAGGCCATCTTGGCCGTCTGGATTACGAGCACAGGACCGGGGAGTAACTTCAGGGGGGCGATTGCTGAACCCCGCTTAAAGAGTGACCCTTGGCCAGAGTGACCTTTAGTGTTGGCCCTAATGGGGTCGGACAGATTTTCTTGAGGAGTGCGCTCGGCCTCGTGTCGGCGCACGCTGCACCAGTCTGCGATCGCATCAGAGCGCGCTTGATTCAGGGCGCGCACCTCGCAATCGATCGCAACGCATGCACGGTGCATTCTGCCGCGTGCTTCGTTTGGCGAGGGGGGGGCCAGTCGAGCGGGCGACGTGCTCTCCGCTTTGGGACTGGTCCCAAATCGTCCTGGAATAACTTTAACTAACTATAACTTCTCGCATTCCGCGCTTTACAACTCAATTCTTTACTATTGAAAGTTATTTGCGGCCGCGGGGGGGCCAAGTTTCGGCCCGGTTTCGGCCTTGACGCCGGACCCGGTCAGACGTCATCGCGATGCGGCCCGGCAGTGACAGAACATTCCGCGGTGGCGCCCGATTACGTCTGGCTTCGCAGAGCCCTCGGGCGGGTGTTCGTGGGCGCCCAGAACGAATTGGCGGAAGTCCGCAATTGCCTGTTGGCGCTAGGGGTCTATCGAAACGCGCCCCACCGATCGTTGATGCAATCCGACGGCCTCGGACTGCGCGGTTGCTCCAGACCCCCACGGGCCCCCCCAAGGCCGCGCACCAAAGGGTACTCTTGCCTAGGATGACTCTTACGTGTCGCCGACGCTTGCGGTGCAGGGGTGCAGGGACCACAGGAGCATTCTGACACGCTCACTCCGTGCAGTCACGGTGCGGCCGTATCTTTATATTTGTATATATATATATATAGATATAAAACTGTGGCTATGTATACACATACGGTTATACCAACCTGTGTAGCTGTATAACTACATATATGGGTGTGTCTTTATGACTGGCCACCATATCTACATACATATAAGCACATATATATATATATGTATATACCCATGGACATGTGTGTCTTTAGTTGTGTATATAGATCAGCTCCTTCTGTATATTTGTGTATATACATATACATAGGGGGATACGTGTCGATAATCTGAGAGAACGAGAGAGAGAAACAGATAAATAGAGAGAGAGAATGCGAGAGACACAGACGGAGTGACAGAGAGACAGAGGGGGCAGCCTTCCTTACCTTACCCATTCTCCTATGATTCCCTGTTGAAGTTACTCCCCATCTATGCTCTCTTCTCTCCCTCTCTATCCTTCCTTGTTTCCGCTTGTTCTCGCTTGCATGGCACTGCGCACCGAAGCCGTTTTAGCATCGAGGAACATGCATTTTCTTCATCATGGCAGCGGAGTTCTGAGAGCGCAGCTTCTGCGATCCACGGCAACGAGTTCGCGGTCAAACCCGCGGGCGCCACCTTGGCGCCGGCAGCGGGCGCCTACTCCGCCACCTCAAGTGCGGTCAGCCCCGCGGCCGAGGTTGCCACCGCCGCCGCGGCCACTTGTACCCCTTGCA